CGGAATCAACCAACTTAGCAGTATCTAAATTTAAAGGCATAACAACAGTATTCAGTCCATCAATAACGTCCACGCGATCAACCTCCGCACCCTCCCTAAGCAAAGACGAAGCGTTAAGCTCAATAATCACAGGTTCAGACAGAACACCACCATTATTACCACCAACATTTAATTCCACCCCAACCGACTCAGCTAAAACCGGAGCATCAGAAACCATTTCCCCCCCAGCAGGAGTAGGAACATCCAAAACCGTTCTGCACGACCCATTAGCATGCCCGATACATTTGCACACAGAACAAAAATTAGGAAATTCATCAAGAATGACATCCTGAACATATCCCAAAGAATCAGAACCAAGCCAAACTTGTTTAGGATATGATTTCGTGATATCAAGCTCAACTAACACATGAGCATTAGAGGGCCGAGAACCCACCGAAGTCGCCTCATCAATTTTTAAAGGTTTACCAAAGATTTCAGCTAAACCAAGCAGAATTCGGGGTGCAAAGAAATGGGGACGAAGGCGCGGAAAAGAAAAACAAATCGGAATAATCGGAGATTCCACCCCAATATCCAGAGTCGGAGACCACTTAGTTAGCTTCATATAACAGTTGAACACAATGTAAGACCGGTGACAAAACACCCTGCAATAATCAAGATCGTTTGCTAACTTAATCAGAATATGGGTTTGATCTAAAACAGTCACAGAAACCTCACCCTTCAACTTTAGGTTGAAAAAAAAATTTCTTATAGCTTCCAAAGAAGGCCTCTTAGAAGGAAAAAAACCTACTAAAGAAAACTGGAAAGGGATAGCAAGCTCAGAAATCTCAAGATCCGAAACCCACAAAGAAGGTAATCCACAGTGAGTCGAACGCCTAAGATCAGGAAAAATCGGTTTGGAGCCATCCAGAGCCTCTCTAAACGAACGAGAGTGAGTAAACCCACCCAAAAAACCAGGGTCCTTAAGTTTAGAAGAAGCCATACCGAAAAGCCCGGCAAAACCAACGAAAAAGCACACAAAAAAGCCCCAGAAAGAAGAAAACAGTAGGAAATAAAAAACTTTCCTGAAGAAAGACGATCGCCGGAGCAAGATTCCCCTCCCCGAAGGCGGGGAGACGACGAAGGCACAAAACCCCCAACCACGAAACCACGAAATCCTAGCAGGCGTGCAAAGTTGATGATGTCTTAGGTCATTTAAGATAAATTCATATACACAATGCATGTACAAATCTCATTTCTTATCCATTTATTATCATATACTTTAATGACTAATTAAAGTGACGCCTGCAGTGTAAATTTATTTAATTAATTACACGAGTACTTACTTATCTCCTAACGAATCGTAAAAGCTTGCTTAGGTTGTATAGTTAACGACGTCAGAATTATTTGACGTAAGCAAATCTCATATTTTCACTTCATCCCATTTCCAGCCAAAGAAGTTAACGACGTCAGATTTAAATTTAACGGCTGCAAGTTAGCGAGAAGATGTATCGACAATGGCCTCATTGTAATAAGCGAGAACTTGGTATCCATTTAATTACGTCAAATAATGCTGCTATTGTCGCCATTGCGCCAGTAAGAAGCGGCGGGCCACCTTCGTCATCCATCTCCGACGAACTTCGGGCATTGCTTGCTTACTTTGGACGAAACCCTTCTCCGAATCACCGAATGGATTACGAGCGGATTGAAATACCCGCATCTACGGTAAAAATCCAGCAATCGTCTTGTTTCCATTCATCACTGGAGACTGAGCTTAACTTTCTCTCTTCCCAATGCTGTGTCGCCTTCCTAAAAACTGATATGAGAGATTCCTGCTTGCTGACTTGGTTTCCCTGCAAATTTCGTCATCTTATGCTTTTTTTATTGGATTCTAATGAGTGCGTACTATTTCGTGTGCAGGGCGGCGGGTTTTCACCAGGGAAGCTCAGGGCTATGCTTCTTGGAGTGGAAAAGAGGAGAAAAGGTGAGGAGGAGCTCGAGGCACGGTTTTCTCTAAGATCTGACCTTGGAGAGGCGGAGAACCGAGGTTAGAGTCCAATGCCTTTTGCTTTCTTTGCTAGTGGTGAGCTTTGGTATCTGATTAGTGACGCTGAGATTGGGATTTGGTAGGTACGAGCCTAGAGGAGAACTGCAAGGATGTGGGCATTGTGAGTTTGAACTCGAGGGTTTCAGCGCCTGTGGAGGATTTTCCTGACTCGGAGACCGTGTTGTCGGGGTTCGAGTTCCAGAAGGCAGAGCGTGCGCAGCACCATCGACCCGTGCTCATGCCCCCGTTCTCAAAGCCAGCGCCTTCGAAGTGGGACGACGCGCAGAAGTGGATTGCGAGTCCCATGTCAAATAGGCAACGCGGGCTAGCTCAGCTGAAGAAAATGGGGTTCATGGGGCATGGTGTCAGGCAACAGGCGTCATCGGCCAAGGTTATTTTAGAAGTTTCGGACGAGGCTGAAACGAAGAGGATCGATCTGAATCAGGAAAGGAAGGAAATGGATGGGAAGAGGGGGGTGGTTTGGTTACCAGAGCCATACACTGAGGTGGATTTGGACATGAAGGATGCTCCTATGCTTGAGGACTATGCTCCGGATTCTACCAGTAAGTTATTGATTTGCTTGACCTAATTAAACATTGCAAGCAGCTCTTTATTGTTTTGTTGTCTTTACAAGATTGGTATTTTCTTACACAAGATACTTCCTGATGTATCTCTGAATTGGAGTTGGATACCGCTGCAAACATGCAATTTGTATGGCATTGCAGTTTGAATTATTTCAGTTTAGGCGCGCTAGAAAAAATTCCTATGAAACCGGAGAGTGAAAGATCGACATTTGTCTCTACTTAGGGATTTAAAGCACACACAAACAATCAAAACCAAACTTTTCTTTTCTAAAAACTTGAAAAATCCCGGCTTGGGTGAATGATGAACTTGCACAATAAATAAGAACTTAAGTACTAAAGTTTGTCCCTCTCTGAATAGAGACTTTGACAACATGCACCCATGGGAAATTTGACTCACAAGGCTGATGATAGCGTGTGGAACAACCTATGGCGGTGATTCGAACAAACCGTAACATGTCATTGGGCACCATCTACAAAAAAAATAGTAAGAAGATCGGAAGACATTAAATCTAGCATCAACAATAACAAATAGATACACATTGTTTATTGATACATTCAAGTGTTAGCAATAATGAATAACAGAATGTTGTTGTGCGGCACCTCTAGGAATTAGAATGGACTTGGCCAGAGCTGCTTTAGGCATTTCCAAATTTGATCTTTTCTTAAAATGGGTGTTGAATGCAACAACTATCATGTTACTAAAACTTGTGCTATCTTGGATAGTGTATCCCACGCTTTGGGCAAGACTGATTTGATAGCTTGAGCCCGAATGGGAATTGATAGTAATGACTAATGATGGTTATTATTGGCATCATCTCTAATCATCAAGAGTTGGCAATGACATCAGAATCACAGTGATGGATAAGTGAGGGCTCTTGCACATTTTGAGGGGAAATATTTTTAAAATGTTTAATGTTGCCTCATTTCAAGCTGGTGAAAATTGGCATAAATGTCCACAAATGTTAATAAAGGAATTATAAAATGGATAAAGGGTGTAACCCTTAGATGAGGTTTCAAATTTCTTAGGATTAATGTGGTTAAATGAGGGCATACCAAACATTTATCCAACTCTCAGTTCCAACATCTTCGAACCAAACTCATCGTCCAGCTGACACCATGAGTTTGTGGGGGATAATAAGCATCAGACAACCATATACACTAGTGGAGCAGCCTCAAGTAAATAATGACCATTGGTCCATAACAAACTAATACACAACCACTGTACACATGTAAAGGGTAATGCATCACATGCACTCACGGTACAAGGCACTCAGCTTTATATATTCATTGCCTTGTGCAAAGCATAACAACTTAGCTCATTTTACCAAGTTAATACATTCTTTACTTATAGTCTACTGTATTCTTACATGTAAAAGGCAAGTTTTCTTTTCAATTTTTACATAGTATCAGAGCAGTAATACCTCATGGTATATAGACATGGAGCAATTAGAAACTTCTCAAGTAGAACCATTTACCAATCCTCAAATCACCTCATCCCTCAAGTTTGTCATAGCTAACATCAAAGTCATCGTCCCCAGTCTCCTCTCCAACGACACTTATTCAACTTGAAAATCTCAAATCCTCAAACTCTTCTCCGCCAATGGCTTCTCCAGCTTCCTCTACAGCAGAAACCCCATTCCACCTCCGAACATCACCGCTCCCAACTCCACATTCAAAGGAAATCCTGCTTACGAGGAATGGCTCCTCATAGATCAAAACCTAGCCGCTGCCCTCTGCTCCACTCTCGCAGCCTCTGTTCTGCCCTACGTCCACAATTTCAACACCTGTTGCGAGATTGAGACAACCCTTGAACATCGTCTCCAAGACACCAATAGATACAGAGTAATACAACTCAAAAATGAGATGAACAATGTCTCTATGAAGAACTCCTTCATGAGTTAGTACCTCACCGAAATTAAGACCCTAGTGGATCATATACCTGCCATTGGCTCCACGGTTGATCATGAGGACATTATTCTCTACACTCTCAATTGGCTACCACCTCAATACCAATCTTTCAAAACATCCATCTGAACACAACTTCATCCAGTGAGCCTCGATGACTTCTACTAATTTCTTATTAGTGAAGAGATCAACCTATCAGCAGATCAACCAGATCCCAACTGACTATGAATTCTTCTTATGCTCTCTACAACAATAGTGGGCGCAGATCTAGGGGTTGTGGTGTTCTTCATACAACACCCCTCCTTGACCCTCTTCCTCCAACGCCTCTGTTATATATGTCAAATCTGGAACAAACGAGGCCATTATGTATACAAATGTTGGCATCGCATGAACGCTAACTACATGCCCCAACCAGCTGCTCAGCAACCTGTTGTTATACCCAATGCCTCGGTCGCCTCCTCATCACTTCCCACTAAATGGATCTTGGACTCAAGAGCCACCTCCCACCTAACTCCTCATATTGACAATCTTCAACAACCCAATAGTTACTTTGGTCTATACTAGATAACCATAGGAAATGGTACCAATACACCTATCACAAATACTAGTCAAGGTTTGCTTCCACTTCCCACTGATAAGCTTCTACTCTCTCAAATTCTCCATACTCCTCAAATTTCCTATAACCTTCTCTCCATTCACAAACTCGCTCAAGATAACAATATTTCTATCCATTTTGATGATCGTAATGGTCTTTACTAAATGCATCTACCGCCTGCTCCCAAGGCGTTCACTACCTCCATCTCCTCAGCCCTTTGCTAGCACAGACGTCTCGGCCACCCTCACTCTAGTATTACAGCCACCATATATGGACAATATCCGGAACTCCATATTCTGGCTCAACTATCCTCTTATTTTTTCTGTATGACCTCTAAGAGCCACAAGCTAGTGTTAACTTTCTTTACTAATCACCAATGTACTCATTTATCTTTATTGCATTCAGATGTATGGGGTCCTTCCCCCACCTTATCCTCTCAAGGATTTAGCTACTATTTGTTGTTTATTGATGACTTCTCAATATATGTATGGTTATTACCAAGCATGCTAAATTTGAAGTTTCTTCTCGAATAATCAACTTCATACATTTGATAGAAAATTAACTCTCCACCAAAATAAAATGCATTTGCTCCCACAGTGGCAAGGAATACATAAACCACTCCCTCCAATCCTTCTTCCAAACACATGGCATTCTACATCAGACGAGTTGCCCATACACACCTGAACAAAATGGTCTTGTTTAACACAAGCACCGCCATATCATCGAGACAACCCACACCTTACTTGTCAAAGCCCAACTACCACATCATTTATGGCCTGATGCAGCCCTCACTACTGTATACCTCATCAACCGCATGCCTTCCCCAGTCACTAAACAACAATCTCCCTAACAGCTGCTCTTCAATTCATCCCCCACATACACTCATCTACGAATCTTTGATTGCGCTTGCTTCCCCTAGTTTCCCCCATCTACTCGCAATAAGCTCCAACCGATATCCATAATGTGCATTTTTCTTAGTTATTCATATACTCAAAAAGGCTATTGATGCTGGTGACTATAAAAAAAAGAGAAGAGACATAAAAGAAATGAAAGGATCGAACAACCACATATGTCTAATTCGGGCCCACTGTGTGCTCAAGTGAAGCAACTGTTCGTTTAAAATAAAGCAACCACCCGCTTACTCCTTTAAAATAATTGGAGCATCTAGGGTTCGCTAATCATCTATTCATCTTCCCTTTTCATCGTTGTTGTTCGGCTTTGCTTTGCAAGAGGCAAAAAGATTCCACAATCGCTCCTTTGAATTCATCGTCGCTGTTCGGCTTTGGTTCACAGGAGAGCACGCGCCGCTCCTTAGACTCCTTGTCATTGTTCGGCTTCGTTGCTTCGCAAGAGGCGTAGAGATTGCAAGCCTCGCTTCTTCGGTTCCTCTTTTATCGTTCGACTTCGCCCCTCCGACCCCTTCGTTGCTGTCCGACTTTGTTCCTTCGTAAGAGTTGCAGGGATCGTTCGAGTCGCCTCTTCCCTTTCTTCGTTGTTGTTTGACTTTGCTTCGTAGGAGGTGCAGAGCTCGCATGAGTTGCTTCTTTCAAATCTTCATTGCTATTCGACTTTAGCCCCTTTATAGTTGTTCGGCTTCGTTGTTTGCATGAGGTATAGATATTACATGAGTGGCTTCTTCAATTCCTTTGTTACTATTTGATTGTGCTCCTTCTCTGATCAGACCCAAGTGCCGGAGCAGCCCCGACTCAAACCCTTTCTCCCTTTCTCTTTAAAATGTATATTATAATATATAATATTATATATAAATATATCATGATATATCTATATTATGTTATTATTAATTATATAATATTATATATCTAATATAATAATAAAAGAAAAAAGAAGAAAAGGACTTTCAAACAGGTTTTGAACACTTGCGCCGTCGACCTTAGGTCTGGCCAGGAATGCACAATTCGAAGACCCGCGCCGTAATCTTAGATTCGGGCGGATGGTTTTAAATTTAAAGCTCCTATGCCATTGATCTTAGATCTGAGCGGGATGAAATAAAATTCGAAGACCCCACACAGTTTGATTGATTAATTAAATTTAAAATTTAATCTAATAAATTAATTTAAAATTATAATAAAAATTTTTAACTGAAATTTCTGTTAGTTAATTAAAAATAATTAACCATTTAATTTCAAATTTAAATTTGAAATTTAATTTAATAAGTTAATAAATCTATTTTAAAAATAATTATTATTTAATTGAGTGATTAATTAATCAATTAATTAAATATTAATTAATTAAATTATATTGAGTATAAAAAAAAGTGGAGAGACCCATTTGTGAATTTTTTTTTAAAGAATGGGTAAGAAAAGAAAATATTATTGTTCTACTAATTGACATATACCACTACTTTCCAAACAACAACTCTCAACTTAAAAAAATTTCACAAACTCAAAAATCAACTCAATCAACACACACATTACAAATTGAAACTCTCAATACTCTATAGTAGCTCCTGCAACTATCT